ATATATTGTGTTGATATTTCCTTACTTGCCATGTTCTAAGATTTGACTGTTTATTCCCGTCGGGGATCCACACCCGCAATATAGGTGAAGAAATTGGTATACGTATACCTTGTTCGTTACGCCGAAGAGCAGCAGGACCTTGCTCTTTTATCAATTTCGACATTTCAACGAGCCCTGAAAGACCCAAATCAACTAATTCGTGCTAGTGCCCTTCGTGTATTAAGTTCGATTCGGGTGGCGGTGATTGTACCGATTATGTTCCTAGCCATTCGGGATGCCGTCTCAGATATGTCACCTTACGTCCGTAAGACAGCTGCCCACGCGATCCCAAAATTGTACAGCCTCGATCCTGAACAGAAAGTACGACAAAGGCAACTCACCGAAATTCCTTGACACACGCTATCTATGGAATCATTTGATTTTTGCCTTATATAAACAATACAATACTGAAAGTGTTTTTCAATTGACTTATTTTAATGATGTTGCCCCTATATGTAATGCGTTTTTCATATTCAGAATGCTCTTGTTGAAGTAATCGAACGTCTTCTGGCCGATAAGACGACATTAGTGGTTGGCTCCGCCGTGATGGCCTTTGAGGAAGTTTGTCCTGAGCGAATCGACCTCGTCCACCGAAACTACCGAAAACTCTGTAACCTTCTTGTGGATGTAGAGGAATGGGGCCAGGTAAGTCCATTAACATGATATGGGGTAAAAGCCTTTATTTAATTAACCAACAGAGTCCCATCATGCTCATTTTCTAGGTTATCGACAACATTTGAACATCAAAAAAGTGCTTTAATATATTAAGACAATTATACGACAAATGTTGTCAGGTCGACCCTGTAAAACAAAACCTAAATGTAATTACGAACTTTGAACTAGGGATTTCTAGACGATACAATAAATTCATCTCTTGTGCTATTCTTTAAAGGAACAAATTGACGCTTTTGGCAAGAATTGTTTGACACTTTTCGGCCGTTGAACTGAATTGTTCAAAGCACTATTCACAGTGATTGAAACCATTCTGAAGAAATCAAGTAGCAAGATTTTACATTTCTGTCTTAAATTTGTTTCTTATAATATATAAAATATAATCCTAACCGATATTTTAGAGTATGCTTTATGCATATTTCCTGCAAGCGTACTTTAAAAAACGAGGCAGATTGTTTTAGTTTTAAGGTAGGCCTCAGGAGTAGTTTTACCTAAACGAAGCAACGATACGAGTTGGAGTACTCATGCGCAAGGTTAATCACACACAAAATTATATAATACTGCTCTCTATAGGTGGTGATCATCTTAATGTTAACCCGTTATGCTCGCACCCAATTCACCGATCCCAATTTAGCCACAGAGGTAAGTGAATGATATCTTGCAGGAGGAACTAGCAGTTACGATGCCCCGCGAAAAACATACTATAACTTTGACCTGTTTGTGATTGTACTAACTGTGCGCCTATAATTTTTCGCGTGTACTCGAATACCGTGATGCCATATTCTATTTGTTTTGCTTTCTAAAAGAACGCTCACATAACTTTTCTTAGCGGCGTTAGAGCTTGGATAGTCGTTTTGTATTTCGAATATTCGGTAGTAACGGATCATCATTTTCCATTACATCCGATTGGTGCCTGCACGGACTTGCACTTGTTTCATTAGAGTAACTTCCTTAGTTTTCAAGTTTTTCAATATCGTAACTAAAGACTACAGAGTGTTTATAACTGAAACCGATATCGGCCAACTAAGAGTACGTGTCTGTTTTAATCGGCAGGTTCGAAATGGCAGCAGCGAAGAGTCACGTGAGATCGGTGGAGGAACCCTGTCGAGCACCGTCGAGGGTCGAGGGATTGACCCAGATCTCCGGCTCTTGTTACGCAATTGCCAACCCCTCCTACAGAGTCGTAATTCAGCAGTTGTGATGGCTGTCTGTCAATTATATTACCATTTAGCGCCAAGTTCTGAACTTGCAATTACCACCAAAGCGCTAATTCGTCTTTTGCGGAGCCATCGAGAAACGCAAACTGTAGTTTTAAGTAACATCGCCTCTTTATCATCGATGTCCACAAGCCGGAAAGGGATGTTCGAGCCTCACTTGAAATCATTCTTTGTACGAACCTCTGATCCGACTCAAATCAAGTTACTTAAGTTAGAGGTTAGTATTACATTATTACGAGAGACTATTATTGATAAACGGGCTTTAAACTTGTTTTTTTAAATATATAAATTTGATTGTGTAATCAAATTAATTTATTTGCAAATCGAAAATCAAAAAAAAATATTCTGAATAGAATTTTATGTGAAAACCCATAACCTTTCATAAACATTTCTTTCTCATAATTTCCGAACTCTTCTAATTTCTATGTTCATTACAAAAATCCTATTATATTTGGTTTATCTAAGGGCGCTTCATTTTAAATTTCTGAAAAAAACTATCAAACTAAACAAACCAAACAGCACCTTAACGCGGATTTTCCTTGCAGGTGTTGGCCAACTTGGCGACAGAATCAAACATTTCAGTGCTACTTCGTGAGTTTCAGACATATCTCCAGTCAACCGACATGGAGTTTGTCCAGGCCACGATTCACTGCATAGGGCGTGTGGCACACCAAATTAAAGAGGTCTGCGTAAACACTGAGGTTTCTATCTGCTCGTGTGGATAAGACAGAAAAAAAAACATTTTGGGACGCTTCGCCCAAAACCTTTTTTTAATAAAAATTTTATCGTTATATGTCGTAGGGCAAGCCGTCAGAGGTCTTCCATATTTGCTATATTGGTAGTCATGGTGATTTGAAAGAAGCTAGCGTCGGTTTGGTCTGTACGCGATAATCAGAAACAGATTCTTAAAAATATATCCATGGGTTAGAAAATATTAATTATTGTTTGTTTATTTCTTGTGGACTCTATTTTAAAATGGGCAGGTGGCAGATACCTGCCTTGGCGGTCTAACGGCATTATTGTCGTCTCGAAACGAGTTGGTAGTAGCTGAAAGTGTGGTCGTTATCAAAAAGCTGCTACAGATTGAACCTGGCCAACATGCCCAAATTATACGGCAGATGGCCAGGCTACTGGACAAGATACAGGTACGTTGGCCTGATTGTGAGTATAGCCAGCAAATTAACGAAATAACAGGACTTTTGAAACAATGAAGCATGCGCTTATATTGGATAGTCCAGCGATGTAATCTAGCTAAATTACAAATATTAATTAACAACTGCATTACTATTTGTGTTATTGTTTTATGATGATATTTTAGGCATCACTTTTAAATTTGTTTCGGCAAGTTTCCGTTTGGGGGCCGGAAAAACCCAGTACTCTAACACAAGATTTCAGTACTTTTTCTGCTTAAGGCTAGTTGTCGGTCTCTTACCGAATATTACAGGTACCTATGGCCAGAGCATCGATTCTCTGGTTAATCGCAGAATACGCCGAGCCGAAAATCGCTCCTGATGTTTTAAGGCGAATAGCAAAGACCTTCTGTCAGGAGGAGGATATAGTCAAGTTGCAAGCGCTTAATCTAGCCTCTCGACTCGCTTTAACAAATAACCAACCACAGACCAAACTCATCGTGCAATATATCTTTAATCTAGCCAAATATGACCAAAACTATGACACGCGGGATCGAGTACGGTTTCTGCGGCACCTCTGCACCAATCCTGAAACAACAGGTTTAAACCGGTACGCCAAGAAGCTTCTTTTATCATCCAAGCCCGCGCCAAAGCTTCAATCAACATTTAGTGGACGTGACCAGTATCAAATGGGCTCATTGTCTCATCTTATTAACCAACCAGCCGCAGGATACCAAGAACTGCCAGACTTCCCGGACGAAGCACCTGACCCATCTGTGCGTAATGTTACGCCTCCGCCAACGCCGATAGTGTTAAGTGAGGCCCGAAAATCGAAGGACTTCTACGCCGAATCTGAGGAGGGTTCACAATCCGATTCTGCCAGTGAGTCATCTTCATCTAACACAACTGAAAGCGACAGCGACGGCGACTCGGAAGAGCAAGGTCGCAGCGAAGAAGGAGACAAATCCGCCACGCACGAATCAAGTTCGGCGTCCGACGGCACCGATGACTCCCAGAGTGACTCGTCCACTGATGACTCAGAAATTGTACGAAAAGCACAACAGTTTAAAATTTCAAAAAGGAACAATGCCAACGGCGCACCGGCTACAAATGGCGACAGTAAGCACAGCACGACGTCAAAGCCACGTGAACTTATTACATCCGAGGCCAGCTTATCGTCATCCGAGAGCGAACAAAATAAGACTCCCGGGTCAGAAAGCGACAACGAAGATACTAAGGTTAACAATAACAACAAACAGAAGCGGAAAGATCGACACAAATCGAAAAGATTGACCACCACTAAAAAACCCGCTCATTCCGTCGACCTCTTATTGGACCTGGATATGGGCGATATGCAATTCAACATTCCAGCTCCAACTTTGCCCGTACAGTTATTAACAGCAGGCGTCGTTCAGGCCCCGAAACCAAAACAAGAACCATCCCGACTTGTGACACCAGTCTCAACTCCAATTTGGGCTAGTCTTAAACGTGGGACCTTAGTTAACGCAAAAGAGTGGAACGGCCTAGAAGTCATGTACCGTTACACGCGCTGTGAGAACATCTTTTCTAGCAGGATGACATCGATCGAGATAAGCTTCGATAACCGCGGTGACCGTGTATTCCAAGAGGTTGCTGTTAAAGCCGCCGACGAGGTTTCTCTTGAGGTCAGGGGGTCCCAGTCACAAGTGCCACTAGGTCCTGGTGCTTCGTTTGTAACAACTATAGGCGTGAACTTCAAGGATAGTGCCCAAGAGGTTCGTCTTGAATTGACAGCAGATGACGACAAACGCGAAATTCGGTTGACGCCAGCGATATGCGAGATTGTTCGGCCGGTAATTATCGCTAGACCCGGTTTCGATTATTTTAAGCGTACACTACGTGGAATGTGCCAGTTCGACGCAGAGATCACCTGCTCGCTCGAATTTGCCGATTTACGCGAGAAGCTACAGCAATACGCCAACGTAATGCTTGTAGCTGAAGGTGAAACGGGCTTGGGAGGGACATTACGCTTTGCTGCACAAACACTCAACACATGTAGTCTCGTATTAGTTGAAGTGACGCAACAGGGACGGTCGGATACCGCTGCCGATGATGGCGAACGAGTTCGGCTTGTAGTCAACTGCGAACTCATAACTGTTGGCCAGATGCTTCTTACGCAGATCAAGGAAGCACTTACCGCTGCTGGACGTTAGAGCAACAGCCTTGTAGGGCAAAAGTAGTCAGCCTGTTTGTGTGCAACTGTAAATGTTGCCCACAATCATAGTGCCGACATTGGGGTCGTGCATGTTTAGTCGTTTTGATTAACTAACGAAATGATGGGACTACTAATGAATGGCTGATACAGCATCATGAAGGTCAATGTACTGTCCTGTTTAAACAAATTGTTGTTACAGGCTGAGAGCAACTGACGTGAATGAACCTAAAAAAAAACTGTCACTGACACAATGAATGTATTCGTGTTTTGATGAGAAGCAGGATAATAAAACTTATTGTCAATATCCACTAAGTGACATTTATCGCTCCGCATAGCGATCCTTATTCTAGTTTTTTAAAAAACGTGCAAAGTGTCATCTATATATATATATATATATAGCTTGCTTTAATTTGTTAAGCTATTTTTTTGCTGTCCCTGATGGTTAATCTTCAAACCTAAAAACATTTAAGTAAAAATGGAGAAACCTGAGGATTCCTGCTTATTGTACATGCTACCATATAAATATGTGTATATAACAGCATGTACTAAAAAAACTCCTGGAATTTTTTTAATTTAGGAAATTTAACTGGTCTCCCCTTTCAAATTTTTAGAAGTTTCTTTTGAAAAAAACAAGGTTCTTTTGCATCATATATGAGCTTTACCAGAGAATCTCTATCCTAATTTTTTTCTCAAGGCCATAAGCATAGCTAGAACGAATAGTCATAACAACTTCGTATGCTTCTACACTACATTGAACTCAAATCTAGCTGATTTCGGCTTCATTAAAAATTGACTTGAATAAAGCTTGCATCAGTTCCCAGTTACTTGTTAATACGCTTAGCGTGAGTGCCGTGATTTAACTGCAGGTAGTGGTTTAAAACAATAGCCTGCCTTGACAGAAATTCATGCATAACAATACTTCGAATGTACTTCAAAATGGCCGCCGGCACCTCTTCATTTACTCCATTCATAAAAATATGGGTTGCGGTGGTGGCTCGTTCTTGTGATGCTACCAAACTGTAAATTGGCTTAAAATAACAGGCCACACAGCGCCGGTGAAACAGGACAACGAGCGTGCAATGTCGACAAGCATAGGTTTCCGTTTGATTAAGACCGCTACCTGTCAGGGATTTAATTTTTTAAATGATTCACTTGTGACGCTTGTCTGTCTATGCTCTAGGGCTATCTTCGGATAAAAATGACACATTGGAAAACGGCGGTTTGCAGGTGCTTGATAACGTATATACTTTCCACCGAACAAATATATGTATGAAAGGTTTTTAGTTGTTCAGACTGGTCGAAAAGGAAAAGCCTTGATAACCTTGTAGCACATAAAATATACAGTTAAATGTTACAATGAATTGTGATTTAGTGTACTAGTGCAGAAAAGCTTATGAGCATGATTATGAGATTGGGTCAGAGCAAGGTAATTTTTCTGCCAACGAGCCTTTCAGCATTAAACTCTTTCTAAAGCTAAAAAACTCGCTAAACAAAGCATTGAGTTTTAAACGGTTATTTCATGTATGGTTTGGTCACATAAAAGTAAACCGCAACTGTTTTGCACTTCATTGAGCTTTTCCAGCCTTAAAATCTAAAAGCGATGATTCAATTGGCTATAAAGTTTTCGATTTACTAATGTGTTCTTTTTTTAATGGTGAGTAATATCCCAGCTTTTGGTTTTCCACGGTAAGGTCAGAGGCATCTTTTCTTCAACTATCGATCAAGTTCTTGTACTTAGTGGAAGCCTCCTTTTCAGCCGGACAAGCCAAGTAATATTATTCAAGATAAGGATATACGTAAAAACTTATTTAAATATTATTTTGATCCGGTAACCATCCCATTTCGAGCTATGCATTGTGCATGGGTATAATACAAATTGGATCAATTATTGAGTTTATTATCTTACTGAAAACGAGTGTCGTAGCAAAACTGTCTTTTCAAGGAAAGTATCATTAATCATAATTTCCGTAATGTATACATAGATTCTCGCATCTTGTTTAATGTTAATGTAAGATGTGACAACCTAACATATACGAAATTTAAAACCCGTTTCCACATAATTCCCGCTTCGATCGTCAACCATTGTCCAATCGTAGTGGTGCAGTACATATGCGATGTTTTATATGACACCTTGAGATAAGCTGACACACAAACTCAACAAATACTTACGCTTAGATATCTCATTGACGTCTTACAAAGGACATTTTTGTTATTGATGTATTGAAATTAATTTAAGTGGAGAATGCTGGTCACATTACTGCTCATACCCATTCTCAATAGTTCAAGATAGCGTCTACAGCACCACATTCTGTATAATGATTTGCCCAGATCTATGTAAAAGCCCCACAAATTAATTAATGAATTAATACAGGTTAATATGCTTGCTGTTTTTAAATACGACGAAACTATTCTTATATATTTATATATATTTATTATACTTTTAAAAGACTTTCGTATCTTGGGTTGAGAGTTCTAGCATTTTTGTCGTGGGTTAACTGTCATCATGGTCACTTGCCTACCTGAACCTTTTCGATTTAGTTCGGTTACCCCTTATATTGCTCCCGTCATAAACACAATTGTATCAAACTTTTTTGTAGCTCTTATAGCAGACTGAAAACTAGTCCTTAGAAGATCCCGGGCAAAGCAGATTTTATCTCGCTTTTAATCTAGGCTTGTAGAATATGTCCACTAAAGCCAACCGCAAAAATGGAATCTTACATCGAGAAATGACGTTAGTAACTCTGAAGGAACTGGGGTAATAACAAAGAAACCATTTTTTTTTTCAACATGTATAGGCCACTAGAAACACTGAAACTAGTCGTTCACTGAATTTAAATACAACATTTTTTGCAATGTGTCTTGTTATATAAATTTTTCTTAACGCTCTCATAGACAACCGTTTTTCAAACTTGATTCTATTTCAAAAAAACTGTTTTGTTTCGGCAAAATGGGTGATTATGGAATGAATGCAAGGTTGATTTGTGCACTCTGCGCAATAGATACACGTTTTTCAAATAAAGTGCCATTTATTATAATACAATGATTTTACAAATACGATCAAAGTAGAATTTTATTCTGCAGAATAAAAGATTATAATTTTACAATAGTCGTGAACTCAAATGTAGCCGGAATTGTATGCATATACTCCCCCTTTCTATATAAAGTGGACTTGCTTTTTGCATAGTGCCTATTTACAATGGTTATCCTCTTTCATTCTTTTTACGCCTGAGTTGGTATAGTGTTCATAGCAAAGACGTGCACTATTTGACAGCTCCTGCTCTGACGTAAGCTTTCATAACAACTGTATCCGTTCTTGTTTTTTTTTATTCATATTTCTATCATCATTCGACGATTCCATCGAGAGTCCCTATTGTACATCAGATTTTCTGCCGCCTACACTACCCCCCCCCCTCCCCGGTTGATTAACATGTAAAACTTATTGCTTGGCTTCTCTTTCGCATTTTCGGAGGGCTATATCGGCCAAACGGAGAAATCACCTACTTGATTTTCTCATAATGATAGTACTTAGAGTTGCACATTTCGTATTTTATTCTCACCCAAATAATGGTAAATTTGTTCATCTTCTTCCTAATACGTATTCCTGCCGATTTTAGAAACTGTCACATGTACATATAATGTTGTGCTAACGAATTGCATTCTTCTGTGTAGATCCGAATTGAAACAGTACTGTCAATATCAACCGATCATCGTCAATAATGCAGGCAATAATTAAATATGCAACAAAAAATATTCCTCACAGTTATTCGCTAATAGCTTTTCTTGAGGTTCACAAAAACGACAATATAAACGATGATTTCATAAGATTTTTTTGTTATCATTACCGTCATCACACGTCATCATTGTAATCATCGCATCATCGTTGTCATTACCATCCTATGTAGACAGACAGTTTTCGAACAGTCAATCAAGTACGGGGTCTAAGTACTCGTCTAGTCCCTCCGATCCTCGACACTCCAGTATCGACCAACTGCTCGAAATTGTACTACTGAATAATATATATAAGTGCATAGGCCTAGACGCTGTTGCCACCCGTTGACATCACTCTCCGGTCTGGCCGGAGAATGTCGACAGATAGCCAGACAGTAACAGGCCTCACCGCGTCTGCTCAAGGCGCTGGTTGAAGCACAGACTACAGAGGCGAACAATCGATCTCATTCTCGCTACCTCTCCGGAGACTCAGACAACGCACGCTTTCATTTCGAGACACACACACATAGACAGCGGCATTTATATATATATA